AAGGGTTTGTATTTGTAGAATGAGTGTTATTCAATAATTAACCTGACATTTTAAAATCACTGAAATGTCAAACCTATTAATTAGGAATACTTTAATTTCAATCTTTTATTGTTAATCCAGGAGAAGTGTAATGTTCTAAAGCAGAATCTCCATTACTTCCTTCTTCACTTCTCAGTCTGTGACTGAAGAGCAATGAGGCCTCAGCCTTTTTACAGAAAAGAGCATCATGTCACTGCAACTCTGAAGCCATTAAAAAAAAACAAAAAAGAAACATCACATTGACTCAGAGTGGGTTGGCCTCAAATGTGACCAAACACCAAGATCTAAGCTCCAAGACTAAAAATAATAAAACCAGACTAGAAAGGGTTAAGTTTGACTTGTAAAGGTCCAGCCCACATGGAAAATGCAGACAAACCCACATATAACCCAGGTGAGCAAACCCATGGGGAGCCTACATTGTTTTGATGGCTGGGATATTAATTCCTCCATTGTCAAGCAATGCAATTCCTACCATTGCACATTGAGGAGCGTTTTCTTTTGCGTTGAAATCCAGGTCTTCAGTCTCCACATTTTCATCTTCAATGCTGTCGACATCAAACATGTCCATTTCAGACTCTGATGGGTATTCTTTGATCTACAGGTAAAAAATTAAGATTTAGAGTTTGGAGCAGAATATTAATTCAAGTGAAAGTGGTGCATGAATGCATTTACCTCTTGAGAACCAGTAGAAGAGTTTTCCTCATCTTCATTTTCTGTGAAATTTTTATCGTGTATGACCTTTAGTGTAATAACAGAGAAAGTGTTAACTCAAAGTGAAGAAAAATTACACACACTTACTTTATTTTACTGAAAGTTCACACACAGACAACTGTGAAGTGAAAGCAAAATGATACATGATTGTTATTGTTCAAAAAATTTAAAAGTGGGGCGTGCGTAAGTATTCATACAGCCTTTTTTTTTCTGAGTGCATTAAATTGCCTTTATAACATTCCTAATGACTGCAGAAAGTTCACACCTTGCCCTAACCATTAAATAGAGGCCACCTGTGTGTAATCTACTCTCAGTATAATTCCAGCTGTTCTGTGAAGGCCTCAGAGCTATGGTCAGAGTGTATTGGTCACTAAGCAACATCGTGAGATTTCCCAAGATTTGAACATGTCACGGAGCACTGTTCAATCCATCATTCGGAAATGGAAAGAGTATAGCACCACTGCGAACTTACCAAGACACGGGCGTCCACCTAAACTAACAGACATAACAAGGAGAGCACTGGTCAGGAATGCAACCAAATCTACACAAATCTGGCCCTTCATGGACGAGGTGGCAAGAAGAAAGCCATTATTGAAAGGAGGCCATTGGTCAGGAGGACACAGCTACCATGAAGAAGGTGCTTTGGTCAGATGACACAAACATTTAACTTTTTGGCCCAAATGCAAAAACGTTATGTATGGAGCAAACGTAACATTTCTCATGGTCCTGAGCGCACCCTCCCCAGTGTCAAATATGGTGGGGGGGGAGCATGCTATGGGGCTGCTTTTCCTCAGCGGGGACTGGGAAGATTGTAAGAATAGTTGGGAAGATGGATGGAGCCAAATACAGAGACATTTTGGAGGAAAACCTACTGGAGTCAGCAAGAGAATTGAGGCTGGGGCGGAGATTCACCTTCCAGCAGGACAATGACCCTAAACACAAAGCTACATCTACAATGGAATGGTTTAAAAACAAACATTAATGTGTTAGAATGGCCCAGTCAAAGTCCTGACCTAAATCCTATTGAAAATCTGTGGAAAGACCTGAAAACTGCTGTTCACAAACGCTCTCCTTCTAATTTGACAGAGCTTGAGTTGTTTTGTAAAGAGGAATGGGCTAAAATGTCAGTCTCTACATGTGCAAATCTTGTAGAGTCAAACCCCAGAAGACTTGCTGCTGTTATTGCAGCAAAATGGGGTTCTACAAAGTATTAATTCATGCTGTATGAACTTTTTTTTCTCTATTTTTTGTAAAATAACAGAATCATGTATCATTTTGCTTTCACTTCACAGTTGTCGGTTACTTGTGTGTGAACTTTCAGTAAAAAAATTCAAAATAAATGTTTTGTTTATGGCTGTAAACATGACAAAAGTTCAAGGTGTACCTTAAAAATACCATACGCGTTTTGTAAGTATTTGAACAAAGTTTTTTTTTGTTATACCTAGTGTTTTTCAAAAAGAACCTTAAAACAAGGACTTTATGATGTCAAAATGCAATGCAAAAAGACTCAGATTGGAGTCTTTTTGCATTGAAGTGTCATTCTGTAGACTAATATGGCGGCGTCTAGGCACGTTGTTCATGACGTTGCTTTTGCCAACTCAATTTCTGTAAACCATTAATAGTTTCACAGAAATACTTACATTGACCCAATACACTTTAGTTGCCCTTAACTTTCATAAAGCATTGTAAAAACTGCAATACTGACCACATTTTGCAAGGAATCATCATCTTCATTGTTTTCTTCATTGGGGACAGCCTCCTTGCGTCTCTGCATTTGAAGAAATTACCGACAGTCACAATGCAGCTATAATGACATGTTGAAACAGATTAAAGCAAGAGCTACATTTTCATAATGTATCTTATTTAGATTACGTTAGTACCACTAACACCTTGCCTTATAAACAAACAAGAAGAGTCGGCTGGATAATACAGTGAAGACAAAGAACAGAATGCCTGCCCGCAGCCCGCTGCTATTCATGGCTACGGCCACGTACACAGGCCGTGGACTGGGGAGCTGGGGTGTCACGTTCAATGCATTAGACGGAGCTAACTAGCTCGGCAAAATTAAATTGGAGGCATTCAGCCATTACATGTTAGAACAATTGGAATTTGTGTTTTGACAGGGTCTATAGAACAGTCTTCTTTGCGATTCCATTCTCCTTCTGATAAATTGTCAAGATTCCAGTGAACATGGACGCCACTGTTTCGCTTTTCACAGACATTTTTTTAATGTTCATTTCAAGCACGTAGGCTTAATGTTGTTTTAAACTGATCATGTCATAATGCTACACAAACCTAATCCCCAATATTTAATCTAAATTTTATCCGTTTTTTAACTTCACAATAGTTCATAAACAAATGTCTTCCAACTCCAGGCCATACCCTTAACCAGACAACTATATCAAATACACGTGAAATAGATCGACAGCATCGTAGACACTTTGTTTAGCTTTTGCTAATTAGCAACATAACTTACTTTTGCTAGCTTCCATCTGTTCCGTGTTCTTTTCGGGATTCGTTCTGTGCCATCCTCCAAATACTTCTTGTAGGATCCCGAACGTTTTGCCATGATTTACGCTACGAAAATGTGAGAGCATTCTCCATTATGGACGTTTCTTCTCGCTGCCTTCTCCTTTCCCAGCGTTCATTTGGGCACATGTAGTCTCGCGGTACTACACGTGCTACGATCCGACGTACACTGAGCTGCGCACATCTCGCGAGAGCCTATTCGCGCTCTTGAATTGTAACCGTTCGCGCTCTTGGCGGTGTGAAGGAAAAAAAAGGGAGCTAATCAACGAAATAATTATCTGTAACCATGGCTTATGCTATTTATTACTTTAAAGACAAAGCTGTAGAGGTGGGAAAAATACAATGGATGAAGGAGGAAGACCAAAAGGAAATGTCATCCAAAACGTTTAAAGAGTGCCCTAATCTGGAGGATGAAGATGGCTGGGTAAATGTGCAGTGGCGACCCGGACAGAAGGGGAAAAAAGACGGCCAATTGAGTTTTCCTGCCAAGATTCTAATGATCAGTGGTCAGTATATGTGTGATTTATAATTTATATATTTATTTAAACAAAATAACTTTCCAGGAAAATAATTTTACAACACAGTAATTGGCTTGTTACACGTTTTTTGCGGGGCATTAAAAAGCATAAGTCATTGCACGACTTTGGGTCACTTTAATGTCATTAAAAAAGTTATTTTGCCTGTGAAAAATTTGAGTGGACACGTTCATTATTGTACATTTTTGTATCACATTGCACTCTGATGATTTTTCTCATAGACAATTACACTGATCTGTGTAAAAAGAGGGAGGGATTCATAAAAGGCAAGGATATCTGGGAAATACCTAAAGGTAACGATAAACGGAGGAGAACACCAAACAGCAAGTGGATGGACAAAGAGCAAGAGCCTGATAGTCAATCCAAAAAGGTAAAACATTTAGAAAAAAGTTTGAATACATAGGAAGCTCTATCATACACCTCATGTCATGTAAATGAAAATCTTTCCTATATATTCAAATGATTTTTGAGTCCCTCAACAAAAAGGAATGTTGTGTAATATTAATATATTGTGACCATATTGTTTTAACATGATGGTCAATGTTTCAATTTGCCTTGACTGTATCTATAGCTCTATATGCTAATACGCATTTCATATTTACTGTCATACATTGAAGCACTTTGCAAATACTAAAATGTAAAATATCTCTTTGGCAGCAAAAAACCAAAAAATCCTCATCATCCTGTCCAGCAAAAGAGGCTTCAAACCAAATGATTGAAGACTTGAAGAAAGATCTAATGGAACAGCAAGCCTTGGAGGTAAATTGTATATTTATTGTTTAATTTAGGAAATAACTTGGTATTGAGGCTGCAGACAAGATCATGTTTTTCACCGCAAGTTGCCGTTAGTACCATATATTGGATCATAACACAATTCTGTACTGACACAATAAGGGAAACAAACACCTTGAGGAATCATCTGCCCATCACAATAACATTTAAAAAGCAAGCACTTTTTGACCATAGATGTCTTCATTTTATCTTGATGTTATTGTGCTTGTGTTTTTGTGTCTTGTAGTTACGTTCTGAATGTGACGAAACATCGGATGAGGACCATGAGCCTCCCAGGAATTGGAGCAGTACACTGCGTCAAATCAAGCAATTAAAATCTGAGAACAAAAGGCTCAAAGAAAGCAATTATAAACAAATTGTAGAAGCAATCAGGGGTAAGTTTAGTTGTTTTGTTTTGTATTTTTAGCAGGGGAAAAGTATTTTCATGTGAAAACAGGATCAACTTTATTGGAGCTCAAAGTAGCTAAAAAAAAATTTTTCTAAAGATTCAGATTTCTAAAACTTGCACAAATTCACCATCTTATTTTATGTCACTTTTCTTAATTGCAACAGGCGTATGGCCATTTCTTTATGTCCTAAATGGGAACATTCCAAGACTGAGCGTTCCGTAGAACTCTGCCTCATTATTTTCTCATTCATACAGTATGATTACCTCTTCCTCTGTCCTAAGTAGTGCTAAACCACCACCGTAAATGACAAAGGTTTTTTCTCTGTTAGTGTTGCATTAGCTACCGTGTTAATCACTCCATTCAGAGTCCTGGGCTGCGTACTGGTCACAGAAATCCTCCTTTCATGTTAACAAACTCCTCACTAAAATCTGACGGGACTGTGTTAGTACCCTACACAGAGATGAAGATGAGCCAATTGTGCTGCTTGTATAGAGTAAAAAAAAATATGCAATTTTAATTTTTACAAAATCATTCAGCCCTAGTCCCAGGCCATGATCAATAACAATGATAATAATATATTAGTGATCAAGATATTTATTTATTTTTGATTAATAATTAATCTTAACTATAATTGTGTTGATTATATTCTTGTGAAAAAATCTAATGTGGCGTAAGCATTTTAAAGAAACATGTACTGAATGTTTCTGTTCTCTTTACAGACCTGCCAGCTGTTGTTCAAAACTTAAGACACATAACTGAGCAGCTTTCATCGTTCTCAAAGTCTTCCTCTGCCGAATCAACACCTGTGCGACTAGTGCGATCTGAACACTTGCCTGTATCCTCTCCTGCATCTCCTCAAGAGGAGTCTGTTGACATGGTAATATAGGAATGTTTACAAAATGTTCTTAATTTGGCTAGTGTAAAGCTCTTGGGGTAGATTATGGCTCATGTCACACAGTGCCAGATAATCAGTTGGTGGCACTCTTCCAATTAAAATACAAGACCATCTCATTGACAACCTGTTTTAAAACACATGCACGGTTGGAATGGAGGAATTGACTTTTCGAAGAACCAAATAGTTAAGGTGGGGTGGACTGTATGTAGGGTTAGCTCTTAGGGTTTAACAGTGGTGGATCGGTCAGAATGCAGGAGGGACGGAAGAGACTGGAGTCCAGGTTCACGTTCCAGCAGGGTTTAATCTGGCTGAAGTGAATGTATTTTACAAGTCTGTAACAACAGAACAATGTGGAAAAAAATTAGGTCTAACAAGTTTAGCAGAACAATCATACAAGGTAAATAATAAATAAATACATAAAAGTGATTATCTGGTCTACTGTAAAATGCTAATACCCTGAAAGGATAATAATTTACTTTTGAGGTGCAAGACAGCTGAAAATTCCATGATGGTACAGTAACTATGGTAACTGGCAAACTGCAGATTTCTTTGTCTTATTTTGTGGCTAATATCTCACTCATTACTGGGAAAATCCACATGAAACAGAAACTGTCTCAAAGTTTATTGTCTTCTCTGTCAGCACATATAAACTAATGTCAGATTATCTCTGAAAAGCATCCAAAAGTGGAGACAATATTAAAAAAAAAGGGGGCGTGATGTTGGTCAAAACGACTTTAGAGTTGTATTGGCCCCTGCCCTCCACCTGACATTATGACATCATCACTTTGTAGAACATGAACGCCACCTATTGCAAATAACTTTGTTGTTTTACAGGTGTCTCTGGTGCCAGGCTCAGACGTCAAAGTCAACAAAATGAAGCTGAACTCTCTCCGAACTTCAAATTCGTCAGTTTATGTTGGAGACCTTGCTGTCCTAATCTTTGGCAGAGAAACGCTGTCTAGCTCAAGTCTGACCGGGAGACAGTCAGCAGCACATAAAGATGTGGAGTCCAAGCCGCAACTGGATGCTGCTAAATTGGATGCCATTGTTGGTGAGTATACTTACGTACTTTTAAATATTTAAATAAATTGTACGTTACACCGTTGCTTTATTCTCCATTGTTGTTTTGATGTACGTAGCACGAGCGGATAAGATAACACCAACACATAAATATTTTATCTTTCAGATAAAATATTTATGTGTTGGTACTTTGTGTCAAATGTTTGAAAAGCACTGGTCAAGATACCTTGTTCTGATCCTGTCTGTGGCCTCACTCATCCTGTGCTGCATATTTGCCAATCAATACGTTTTTCATCATCGGTGGGTGTACAGTTAGAGCATTATATGCTTACTTTTTATTAATTAATTATATCAAAATTAACTTATCTATTGTGATCAATCAAAATGTAAAAGTCTGCTTAATCTCATGTTCAAAAAAATGATTCACAGCAGTATTATTAATTCAGGTATGAACTGTTAAGATTTTGTGGTGTCAGAGTTCATCTAGGGGCGACAGTAGCTCAGTTGGTAGAGCATTGGCCTTAAGCCCAGGAGGTCGTGGGTTCAATTCCCACCTCTGCACCTTCTCCATTGACTCCCACTGATGACTGCTGTCGTTGTGTCCTTGGGCAAGACACTTAACCCCACTTTGCCCAAAGCCCCCACTGAAAGATCAAGGCTATGCTCACACTCAGAGAGCAGCCGTCCTCCTGTGGGCTCACCACCTGCAGAGGGTCAGTGAGGGGCTGGTGCATCTCTGACTGTCACCCCCCCTGACCCAGAAATGGATTAAAGGGTAGAAAATGGATGGATGGAGTTCATCTAACTGTTCATATTTTTGTTTTTGTGTTCACAGGGTACGCTCGGTCGAGGTTTCCATCTTTGAGCGTTCAAGATATAAGAAAAATAATAAGAAAGAAGTGCAACAATGAAAACTTCAAAAAAGGATCAACGGCCAAGCAAGTGGATGCTACACAGAATTAAAATCCATATCTGTTTTTGTTATAATGTTCAATTTGTAAAATTCTCACTGTAGGTTGAATAAATTTAAACAAAATGACTTTGCTATGTTCTTCTTTTCTCAGCATAAAGGTGAAATGGGAAATAGTGGACTTGATTATTAAGAAGTACACTCTTAAAGATTACTTTAAGTATACTACGAAGTATACTTTGAAAGATAGAAGTATACTCAATTATATCAGAAGTACACTACAAGTACACTTAAAGATTACTTTAAGTATACTACAAAGTACACTTAGAAAGATAGAAGTATACTCAATTATATCAGAAGTACACTACAAGTACACTTAAAGATTACTTTAAGTATACTACGAAGTATACTTTTAAAGATAGAAGTATACTCAATTATATCAGAAGTACACTACAAGTACACTTAAAGATTACTTTAAGTATACTACAAAGTATACTT